GCAATATAACTTTCTAGGATCAGAGCAAGCAGGCTTGGGGCAGTTTAGTTCCTTCAGGCAATTTCTATGGTTTTTGCAGTCTGGGTGACTCCCTTGCCATTCAATTTCCTGTGCTTTCCTCAGCATTGTTTAAAATATTTACCCAGTCTGTTTTAAGCCCTTGGGCCTCCCAGGGGTCTAGCTATACCAGCTCTCTTATCAGAGCAATTTTGACTCATTAGCCTTTCCTCTAATGACTTTTTACCATTGGAATGTGGGGAGGGAGATGTTACTGTGCATTCATTTGATATCTGGGAAGCCTTGTTACGAGCTTACACATGTTCCTTAGAAATAATTACAATTAGCAGATGTGTCTATTATTGGAAAGATAAGATGACTTGCAGGAGATAGCGGCTGACTATGGTATGTTTGAGAGCACATCTGTGATTATGTGCTTGGAGAAAATGGCTAGGATCCAAACCAAAGAACCAGGCAATTTGTTCTGGGCTCTCATGAGGTTTTGAGACTCTTGCTCCATCAGCCCTATCTTGCAACACACAGGATTATGAGAGCCAGTTTGATTACTCTCAGAGTGGGAGTAAGTGGGATTTAAATAGCCCACATTACTGTGCCTTATGGGTTAAACTGGAAGAACTGGCCAGTAGGAGTATGGACTTTGCTGAATAGGTTGGAATTTCCAGGAACTGTCACCATGTCTCTAAGGCACCAGATGCAATAGACCAGAAGCATCTGAAGGGCCAATCAAAACAATATGTAGTTTCTTACTAAAACTAGACTACTAAGGTCTATCAATCTAGTCTACCTTTCTCCTTTCAGCAGTGAAATTTCACAACTAAGGTGTGAAAAAATGGCTTTCCCTGTTTGCTACTCAATGCAAGAGTAGCATTTCATACTAGTGATGCTATACCCTTTAATAATAATGAGCAGTAATATTACAATGGCAATGTTCACATTTCTTTTTATAGCGGTGTAGCTTCTTACTGGAGATGAGGGGACATTATTTAAATATTGTGAAAATTCTACCTTTGGGATAATTGTCTCTGTGATGCTAACCCCTTTTTGATCTCTTTGGGGTCAACAGGTCACTTGATCAGCATGCTATTTGTTCTGGGTCAGCATGCTATTTGTTCTGGTCTTTGTTTCTGGTGAAGTAATCCCTATTTAAATATGTGGACCAAAGTAGACAGAAAGTTCCTAAAGAATTATTTACAACTCAGCCTTTTAAACTTATGCTGATGAGCTTACATTTTCATGCTTGGACATGATCATGAGCCAAGACGTTATAAAAACAGGTACTACAAACATACACATACATATATGCAGTTCATTTTTTTAAAAAGGAATATTGAAATAAAATATGATTTAATCACATTCTAATAATAGCTATTGATCCCCATGACTTTGATGAATTGGTCCAACCCAGCACTATGTCTTATGGTAGCAAATTCCAAAATTTGATTATGTATTATGTAAAATAAATTTTTTTTACCCCAAACCCCACCTGGTGGTTATGGAATCTGTTCAAGTTGTTTGGGGAAGAATGTTTCATAAAACGTATTTTAAGAAATATTGTTATGGAACATGCACAACTCTCCTATGAGGCAGAGGAATAAAAAGTAGTGGTAGGGCATCCAATTCTATTATTCAAAGAAAGTCTGTTCACCAGTGGTGGGTTGCCAAATTTTTTACTACCGGTTTGGGTGCGTTCCCACGCGCGACACTTCTGCGCATGTGCAGAAACATCCGGGTGGGGGGGGGTGTGTGGAGCCTCCCATCACCGCTACTACTGGTTCACCCGGTCTGGGCCAAACCGGGAGCACCCCACCTCTGGTGGTCACCATTCTCCTGAACGTACAGCCAATCCCTGGGTTAAGAATGTCCAACTTAAGGACAACCCCTAGATATGAACTATTACCCCTAGATATGAGTCTATTACTAAAAATGGTGAAAAGTGTTCTCCTTCTCTGAGCCGCTGAACTGCTGAAGCCTAATTTTGGCTTTAGTGGTTCATCAGCTAGAGGAAAGACAAAGCCGTCCACCACTTTTAGTAAGTGGCAGTCCATTGTAAGCACAAGTTTACAACTTAAGTAGAAATTTGAGTTAAGAATGGAATTTATTTTTAACCCAAGAACTGTCTATAATATTACTTATATGACATTGAGTTATAACAGCTATTTACTGTATAGAGAAATACTGTAGTCACTACTCTGACCTGTTTCCAAGAAAAAACCTGCAATTTTTTAAAATCTAATTCATCCACCTTATCTGTGTTGTCCCTTTTTCTACATCCCTCAATCTTGGCAATCATAGCTATTTTTCTATCCAACAACTAATAGGCCATCACAGGCCAAAAGTATGTGAATTTCAGCTTGTTGTTGCTGCTTCAATATTCATGGTGTATAGCACCATGAAATTAGCTTCAAAGGAAGGCTAAAACTTTTATTGTGATTGACTAAAATAACAGCATCTTGAATGTCTGATTGGGCTGCTCCTATTCCTCTTCTTGTGAGTGAATTAGAGAAGTGTCTGTCTGAGGCATTTCCAGATGTTATCTCAGGGCTCTGCACTTAAAAATTGCTTCAACCTTTTTTTTGTCTAAGTAATGGTTCCTACATATCTCTATCAAGATCATCTTCCCTGTTCTCTGTAGCAGCAAGCATTTTCTTAGTCCAGGACCGATTGATGTATCCATGCTACTCTTAGAAACTATTTCCAGATCCATATATTTGAAAGCATTTACCTTTTTCTCTCACTCTTTTTCAGTGTCCACCTTTCAATCTGTATGTTAGCACAAAAAAGATTTTTGTTGACACAAAAGTACCTTTATTCTTCATGAATGTCTCCTGATTTGCCACTGCCTTCCATCTTCTCTACCTCTCCAGCACACTGTCCATTTTATGTATTTGCGAATTAAGGAAACAAAGCAATTTACTACCTTAATTGGAACCCAACAAATGCTATTAAAAGAAAAGATCAAGTATGTAGTAACATCAGATGGCTGTCAATTTTAAGACACACAACTATTGAATAGGGCGAGTATCTGCACAAGTTACATTAAATGAGAAACAAAAGATTCAGTTTGGGGAAGAAAATAGAGGTTTGGAAAATAATCTGGGGTTTCACATATCTGTAACTAATAGACAACAAGCTACTGTATATTCCTAAAGGTTTTGCCTAAGCAAAGTTTGACCTTTTTTGGGGGTGGGGGGAACATTGTTCAAATGAGGGTTGTGCGAAGAAGTGTTCATTGGAAAAGAACCATGGACTCTGGAACTCAACCTTGCAATTCCTATAGACTCAGCCTCTCATCTTTTGTGAGCACATAGCATATTACAAGTACCCAGAGCCAATTGGATCTAGTCAGGACCTCTATCTTTATTGCCAGTGAATCCAGCAGGTTCTTTGCCGCCTGTGACATACTTAAGCACTCAAAGTACTTAAAACACCAGAGGGCCTTTACTCTGGCCTTATGTCATACCCTCCCCTCAGCTGTCCTTGAAAGCTGAAACAGGAAGAGAGACAATGCCCGTGATTCTGGACAGAAGTCAGAAGCAACAAAGCATGTGTTCTCCAGTGCCTGTATTAGAGACTGTACTAGCCTCATTTCATCATTACTACACAAATACCAAGATTGTAGAGGGCAAATCTATTACCTCTCTGCTGCTTTCATATACCAATCCTACTCCAAAATATAGTCAGGTTCTGTGCAGCAGCATTTAAAATACATCAGATGATGACCGGTGCCATAAATTTTGCTACCTAGTTCATCATACTAGTATACTCTGTAATGTGACATATACGAATCTTTATGCCCCCCTACATCCATCTAATGCTCCTAAACCTTATTTCTTTTACTCATTTTTATATACTTTTAATACTTTAGCTTTTAGAAAATTTTAGACTCTGATATACCTTTTAATGCTTTTAATTGACCATAATCCAGATGTGATTTGACTAGAAGTCTTCAGATGCATTTTGCATGTTGAAAACCCTGGCGTTATGAAATGCTTCCAAGTTGTTCCCAAAAGAAAATGAATCACAGAAGGGGACTTTTAGCTTCAGAAACAGCGAGGGCAGCATTGCTACACACTGAAAAATGTAAACACTGTTTACAGCTCTGTTTAAAAAGCTTTGAGGGAAAGTATTGGGAAGTGCAAAAACAAGGCATTTGACATCTTTGAGGAGTACTAATCTCCTGGGTTTTCTTCCGCCACTGAATATATACTGTAGGAAAAATCTAGTTCGGTAGCTCCATACATTCACATGTCAAAAGGGAAACTGACAGCTTTGTTTACGCACACAGTATGTTTAGAGGAAATGCTAACTGTGCTTTTATCTTGGTTACAAATGCTTCATTTTTTATGTATTATTTCATGGTGTAATATGTTGTAGGGATAGTAATCATAACAAGAGGCTTATGAAGACTATGATATTGTTTAAAATGATTAACAAAGTTTTATCTCTGGAAGTTATGCAAAAATGAAGTCCCAACTATGTTTGGTGAGGCTTATTCCCAAGGAAGTGTAGGACTGCAATGTTATCCACAGGAGAGCACCACATATTGTATTTCTGATAGCAGAATCTTTTTTTCACTGTTACGTGCACAAGTGTATAAAAACAAGTCTGGATTGAAGCCACAACATGAAGCCTTCATGATATCAACTCCAGATGAGTTACTGAACTACATACCTTTTTGACCTTGTCTAAAGTTACATATGCAGTTTCAATTATTTAAGGAAAGCACTAAGGATATGCAATCATCTAAAATGTATCTATTGAAATTAACAAGTTTTTTTTTAAAAAAAACTCTTTTCTTTTTGTTCAGTTCTCTGTTTGTTGCCTTCCAAATGAACTGGACCATTCCCAGGTTTACTGGGAAAATGAGGTGACATCCAAGATAGCATCAGTATGAAAGACGAGTTTGACAGTTCCCTGACTTCATTAACAAAGAAAAAACAAGAGGCAATAGAGATAATGAAGTCCACTAAGAATATAAACTATCAAGGGGAATGTGACAATGGCGCATTTTATTTTTTATATTTTAATAAATAAAATTAAGCTGCATAATTGCATGAGCAAATTTCCAGACAAAAAAAAAAGTTAGTTCTCCAAACACAAAGTCCAGAAAGCAAGTAGCACATGCCAGATATAATTTTGACCATGATTCAGGAAGGCTTTCAGTTCTTCACAGGAGTTGATGTTGCTTTCATCATCTTTTTGAGATGATGATAGTTTGGGAGGATTTTCATGAGAAAGTCCAGCTGTAATGTTTGTGGCTAAAATGAAAAGCACAATGTTAGAGAAATATACATTAACCTAAACATATCTGCTTGAAAGAAGCAACTGGACCACAACTTCCATATATCCCCATCAGCATGGCTAATGCTCAGACTATAGAAATTGTGATCCAGAAGATTTGAGGAAGACTCAATTGCTTATTTTGCTACAGAAACGCAACATACTGTATCTAGCTCTCTGATGACTTTAAGGGAAGGCTTTAACTCAGCAGTAAAAGACGTGATAGCATCTTTCATGGACAATGTCACACTGGAGATTCACACTGGAAAACTCTTGCCTGAACTGTATGATTACTGTCACCAATCAGTGTTGAAATCATAAGGTTAGATCAGGGGTGTCAAACTCGCGGCCCACCGCCTGGATACATCATGTGCTGGCTCCACCCCTGCCCGGTTTAGCAAAAAAGAAAAAAGACTCAATATGTTATGTGACATCACCATGATGGTGCAAGTTTGACACCCCTAGATTAGATGGATCAAGGGACTGACTTATTTTAAGGTAATTCTTATTAAGAACATTTGTTTCCCAAATTCTCCTTCTCTCAAATGATATATCACAAATGTCTTCCTCACAAATATAAGGCAAACATATTTTAAACCACTCTTTTTGCTTGAAGCAATGAAAGCTTCAGCAGTATTCTCAAAATTTCTTCAGTTCTCCACACCTTATGTAGTAACTGAGGAAATGCTGAATCCCTTTCTCCATTGTTTCACACTGAGGAAGACCGGACTGAAAAGCTAATTAGCAGAGTCTGAATATGGACATGAGTGTCAGTTGTCATTCATCATCTGATCTTTGGCTACACTGGCTCCTTCTTCAACCAGCTAGGAAACCAGAATCATGATTTTAAAACAAGTTTCTGTTTTTGTATTACATGTGAATTTACAAACTATAGTGATAATAGTAGCACTATAACAAAAACAAAAAAAATCACTGCAAAGCAACAACGTAACCTGACTTAATTTCAGTTTGTCTGTTGATCTGAAATCACAGGTCATAAAACTCTTTTATTGAACAGTGTGTCCCTTATCCTGGGAGAAATAGCGATTGATCATCCACAAAAGACATGGTTATTTGTAAAGAAAAAAGCAAGAGAGATGCACCTCTGTCCTATATCAACTGGACCATTAGACCAAACTATCTTCTCTATCTAATGTTACTTATATTGCCAAGATGTTGACTCCCCCCACCCCCACCCCAAATTTGGTTAAATCTGAGGTCAAAGTAGGAAAACTTTATCAACAGGATATTAATGGGATACAAATCACAAAATGCACATTTTTTCAGGGCTCTGCTCACTGACTGGATTGGTAAACTCGAACCCCACAAGTCAGGCAAACTAGTGACTGAAGAACTCAAAGCTGCCTTGCATGCTTGTTGCCTACTCACCTGTGGCCTCTCGGTTTGCACCCGACGAAGACAATCTGCTCCGTAGATGACAGTGTTCTCAGGGATGACTTCATATGTGTTGACGTTGCAGCAGGCACCGATAATGCAGCCACTTGTCAGGATCACATTTCTACCAACGAACGCTGTAGATGTAGAGAGTAAGAAAGGTGACCTTGAAAGTGAAATGCAAGAGCCAGAGCAAAGAGGCATGACAGAAACATCTTTTATGTCTAGTCTCTGTATTTAGGCAATGTCTTTCTAAATGGTGGGGTAAACGCATATATTCATGCACATATTGATTGGCCCCTGTGCTAAGGAAGAATGGCACAAGGAGCCCTTTTCTTCTCCTAGAACTCAGGCAGTTAGCTGATGTGTTGTTTAGTAGCAGAGAACAAAGTTTCCACATCATGATAGCAGATGATACTTAATTATGTATCTCCATCCTGAGCCAGACCAGAAATGTGATGACCCTCTGCTAGAGGCTGTGGGTTCAGAGTAAGATAAATCCTCCTAATGAGATGGAGATGCTATTTGTCCAGAAACCATGTGTCTCACCCTCTGCACTGGTACTCCCCTCAAGGGAACAGGCCCGTCACCATAAGAATTGTTTTGGTTATGGTTGGATCTGCTGTGGAAGCTGTGGGCCTTTTGGCAATTTATCAATAATCTCATTGCCAGTCTGCAAGAGAACAATTTTGCAGTGGTTGAGCATTCCTTCCCTATGTACTCCAGAGGTGGGTTTCTGCTGGTTCGCCCCAGATCAGATGGCGGCAATGGGAGGTTCCAGCCACCTGCCTGGACGCTTCTGCACATGCAGAAGCATCACACGAGCAAACCAGTAGTAAAATAAATTGAAACCTACCACTGAAGTAATCATATGTATTTCCTAGCAGACTATTAATTAGATGATTAAGGGGCCTCCAGAAAGCATACATGCCTTCATTTCAGTAGTGAGATAGACAGCAAATTAAATAAATTTATTTATTTAATGTATTTGTTCTGGGAAATGTGCCAGGATGGTCTTTGTTAAATGGGCTGCCTGGCATCATTTTACAGTATACCCAGTTTGGGTCTCCCAATATATCGCCAGTATACAGCAGTTTTTCTGTATCTTTCTTCTGTTGCACTATTCCACAATTAATTATTGCCCACCTTCAAAGTAAAATGCATTGTAGGGGCTATTCTTATAGGCCTGCAAATGATAACGAAGGCCTTATTTTTTTTGAAAGACTTTGAAGATTGGCTGTATTCAACCACTGAGACAAGAATAAAAGTTTTTACTGATATTGCTGTATATAATAATTATAATAATATTGTTTCTACTCTTTTGTAATTATGTTTAAATTTCATATAGCTGAAAAACTAAACTAAAGTAATAAAAAGGATTGCTATTTTCTTATTTATTCTGAAGTTGTACAAAATAATAATCACATACTTACCCTTTGACTCAATTACATTGTTATCTCCTATTTTCATTGCTTGAGAATCTGCAAGCCATGGTTAAGAATATTTTTCTGCATGTTTCCCATATTCTCAGTTCTTCCTAATACAGCAGGAGATCTTTTGCAGCTCCACTGCTTTCAGGAAAGATCCTGGGAGACCATTATCCTAACTTTATAACTTTGGATACAGAAGAATAATAGAATAACAGAGTTGGAAGTACCTTGGAGGTCTTCTAGTCCAACCCTCTGCACAAGCAGGAGACCCTTATCATTCCAGATAAGTGAATTAGATCACATGCAATAAAATTCAAAAGCAATTATAGTAAACTAATGAAACCTCTCTCCTTAGCAAAAGGTTCTAATAAATATCATAATATGCTACTTAAAAAAAGCTGAAATAACATCTCCTACTTTTTTCATTTGGCCAAAAGCTACCATGAACATTAGACAATATACTTAAAAGGCATCTTATGCTATAACATTGCAGTTGCAACAAACTGAACTTTATTCAGAAGCAATGAATCAATTGTATTTTTTCTCTACCAAATTAGCAAAGTGTGGAAAAATAATAGCAATTAAACTACTAATATTTTATCTGTTTCACTGAAATCATTAGATACAAGTAATAAGTGTTTAACAGCAAACATCCCTACCAATCCTCTTTAGCCACAAATTAGGGATATAAGACTACATAATAGATACTTACTGTCTGATGCAAACATGTATCTTTCTAATCTTTTAATTTATTCTTCAAAAGGATACAACAGCCAACTTCAAACACATTATTAGTGCCTATGACCATCGATTTGGTTCCTACTTCCTCTGTATTAGGAATTATGTTTTCAGGATAGCTGTAGAGATAGAAAAGGTATTTTAACGTTTTTGTGTTTAAAAACAGGCATATCATGCCCTTAAAACCAAGAGTTTTATCTTTAAACGTTGATACTAACTTGAACCTTTTCTATTCTATTCTGCTATTCTACATCAAACAGACTCACCAATTGTCAATCAAGTTTATTCCAGAATACAGAGATCATTTTGTAAGAATGTTTTGGCAAAATAATCATAATAATATAAAGATTCAAAGATATACTATGGAAAACTGAACTAAGAATAGATTTATAAGAAAATTTAAATCTGAAATACAACAAAACCTCAAAGGAGAGAGTACAAGTACATCTATGCATTAATATTCACTATACTAATTGGGAAAGCTTCAAATGATTATCTTATAGTTTCAAATATGATTTTCCTTTTGCAACTCATCATGACAATACTAAAAAATGGCTGGTTATCAAATGAATAGAAAAGCATATTAAATTTTTAGGGATCAATTTCTGCATTATAAATTCACTGAATTCATATTTATTATACTTAGCATTTACAATTTCATTGAATTGGTATTTATTACAATTAGTATTTCCCAATTTCTGTTACGATTACATGTCTGAACATATACTGAACATACAACATTTACACTGAAGGTAGTATGAAATTATTTCAATGGCTGCATGATGCTAATTTCTACCTGAGTGAATACAATCAATATATGATGCCCTAGGAACAGGCTATTAGTTACAACAGAGATGGCATGTTCCTGATCCCTTCTATCAAGCAATGCCATCTGTTGGGACTAAGACAGTATACTTTCTATGTCGCAGTGCCAACCCTGTGGAAAAGACTGCCTTTCAAAATTCAGACAGCCCCATCCCAACTGAAGTTTCAAATGTTTCTTAAGACTTGGCAATACATAAGCATTTGACCAAAGTATTGAGTGTGCCCTAGGAAATGTGGTGTTATACTGATTTGTATCTCTATTGCCAATTTATTCTACTTTTAATATTTTTATGACTGTTTTTGTTTGTATACTGCCAGAATTGCTATAGGTTGAGTGGCCATGCAAGTGGAATGAATGAATAAATATATTAAGAAAGTTGATGAAATTATACTAACCTATTAATTATAATTGCCTGTTCTTCTATGAGATTACCTTCCCCAATCACAATTGGTCCAGCTTCTGCAATGATTCGGGCTTTGGGGTGCACCACTGTTCTAGGCCCTATAAAAAATACTTATTGCTATAATCTTATGTATCATTAAAACATTTCAAGGAAATGTATTATCCTGAGCACACATTTATCTGAAAATACCAATTTGCTTCAGTTGACACAGGACTGCTGTCAGCCATCTCCGTGCATTTTAAATGTGTGCAATATTTACACATTAAAAGAAGAAACTCAATCATTATCATACAATCATTTGTTGCAACTTAACTTCATCAACATTTTTATTGTCCTACATTTGAACAAAAATGCTTTTTTAAATTTTAGATAGTGATCTCCATTTGTTGAAAGGCAAACATGAATGATAAACAAGGTTTAAAACCAGGATTATGGATGGGGAAAAGTGCAAATACCAGCATCATCTTTCACTAAAATAACAAGGGATCATCCACATTCTTGAACAATTGACTGAACTATTAGAGTACCACTAGCTATTTACATACCTAAAATTAGTACTAACTCTTTAACTTTCTAAGCTTAGCTGGTTTTAACTTTGGTTGTGGGTTACCATACTATATAACCATAGATGATTTGTTAATAATTCAACAGTATTGTGATAACTAAGTTAATTAAATAAACAAGTTAAGTGTGTTGGGCTAACCCAACTGTATTGTTCTATAAAATTATTTTCTCTTACCAATAGTCACATCTCCTTTGATTTCGCTCTCCACACAAACAACAGCTCCAGGTGCAATCTTCACACTAGAAAAGACATATACAGAAACAATAGCAGTGATTGGCATTTTTCTCATGCATTTGCTCACCTCTGTCAGATAATCCCGGATCCTTGGAAATGCATTTTAAAAAGGATAGAGAGAAAGCTCTCTATCTATTTGATTGTACCTGGAAAAAAAGTGTACAAAGCAAAAGTGATGAGAAGACTAATTCTTGAGCCACAGTAGTGCTCAGTAAAAGTTTAAAAGTCCCCAAATGAAGGAATTATGTAATCTTCTGTGATTCTATATCACAGCTATTAACCAATAACTGCCTGCAATGACAGTTTAAGTTTAATTAGACAGTTGAGGGTAGGGAGCTGTTTGTCAGTAATAAAACATTGTTATGTCACTATTGAGAAAGCACAATACTGCCTTAACTGAAGTTCTAGTCGAAACACTGGACCAGAGAGCTAGGAAGACATGTAGATATACTGTGATTGACAAAACAACTCCTAGTCTCACACTACCAAAGTGTTGTCAGTTACTAAATCAATGGGAAACTTTAGCTCACCTCCACAGCCTCCACCTGCCACCTGTAGTATTAACGCTCAAGCCTAATAATTGTTTTAAGAATTTCTAAGATGATGAATGCAAAGAACTTAAATTTTTTAGGAAAAATGTTGAACAATATTAAGTAGTAGGAAAACAACAATAACACATTTTCGCAGTCAAGTTTTTTGGATTCTCATTCATCCTTTCCCACAAAAACTATTTAGGAATATCCACAAGATGGCTCAGCTTCTTCTAATAGAAAGGACCTCAGTGAAATGATAACAATATAAATCAATGCAAGGCCTCATTCAAGATATTCAGCAAACTGTGGAAACCTTCCAGAAATCATCAATGATCCTGTACACAGTGACATCATCCGAAATTGAAAAAATTAAAAACCACGGAACGAACAGCTGGTTTTCCCCTTTTGATGTAATAGGCAAGGCTTTCTCGAGTGGCATCGGGAGTAGCAATTTCCCTCTTTCCGTCCTCAAAACCGCCCTCTGCGACTGGACTGAACTCCTTGCGGGCTTGTTGAAAACGGACATTTACCGGCAGGTCCGACCTCCTTTTACCCTTTGAGAGGCTGCCCTTATGGCAGCAGTTTAGTAGCAGCAGCTTAGTAGCAACCACGGTCCATTGCAAAGAACCGGGCGTCCTTTTTTGTATCCTCACAGACAACGCAGCCCTGAAAAAACGGACCCAAGGAGCACCTAAAGAAAACAACTCCTATGGAGTGGGGAATCCAGAGGTTTTGCCGCCCAGCCCCCCCCTCCCCTTACCTCTTGTGCACCTTCTCCGCCATCTTTCCTCTCACTCATCCATCACTCGACCTGCGGCGAGGCTCCCTTGCAGATGTGGCGGCATTGGCGGATCGAGGCGGCGCGGCTGGCAATCGACTCGTCAGCCTTGCAGTCGGCCGCCCCGAGCAGCAGGTGGCGCTAGTGGCGCTCGCTCGCTTTGCAAGGCGCGGAAGGAGCGGGCGATTGAGAACGGTTAAAAAAGCATGAAATGCGATTGCAATTACAATGAAAAGGGAACCGACGCATAATAGCAATGGCCCTTTGACTTATATACCGCTTCATAGTGCTTTACAGCCCTCTCTCTACACCTAAGCGATTGTGTTATATGTTTATATATAATTGTATAAATGTATATAACTATGTAATATCATATGTGTGTTTTATGATTGCTATTGAAATAAGGAATAGTTCAATGCTTTGGTGGCTGTCTTCCTCCTCTACATTTTCTTTCTCTCAGTGTATATCTTTGTTTTTACTGTTAGTAAAAGAAGACAAAGCATTGATCCTACTTTCATACAGTCCCTACAGTTAGATACGCAGCCTTATGCTTTTTCCACTATTCCAAAGCAGAGGGGAAGTTGTAATTGTCTCTGCAGACATGAAAAATTCTAACGTTAAAAGTCTAGTTTTAATGAAAACTAATTGTGAATTAGTTATTCATTGTCCTCTTACTCTCATGCAGAGGGCATGCCTCTTCTTTTCTTCTTTTTAAATAAAAGCTGCTGGTGCTTATAGCTTTGTGAGTGTACCAGCTGATTTGAACATTGCAAAGTAGCCCAACTGGATTTCTCCCCAAGGCAGAATTTACAGGAAACAGATGCTTCCTGTATCCCTTTGGCTTAGTAGGGAAGCACCCAAAACTTTTTTTTCCCCAAGAGAAGGGATGAAATTGGCAGTCAGGATACTCTTTTGAGGAAGGAATTTTAAATATTTTGTTTAACACTTGAGATGTAAGTGATACATTTAGATTGGTTGTAACTTTCTGTTTCCATTTTCCCCTAGTTTTAAATTATTATCATGTATTTCTTTTTAAAATATTTGTTAAATAGTTTGGGGATGTTGAATTTTTGATATAATTAATTGGTTTTTGTATGGTTTTGTACTTTAAAAATTTGTAACAAAATAAAGTGAAAGTTAATTTTAAAAAAGAATATGCTCCTATATTTTTGTTATGATGTTTGTTAAGGGAATCTTTGAAAATTGTTTTTGCTTTGTTTTGTGCCATTGTGACTGCCTGGATGAATTCTTGCAGTTTTCTCAGCTAGATTTCAGAAGCGGTTCGCCATTGCTTCCTTCCTAGGGCTGAGAAAGAGGGACTGGCCTCAGGTCACCCACCTGGCTTTACTCACAGTCTTCCAGCTTCTAGTCTAATGCTTTAACAACTACCAGTATATTAATGTGGCTATCTACAAAATTTGGAAGGGTGCAAATAGTAAGGCAATTTCTACAGAAATTATGAACATTATAGACATATTATTAATCAGAAAACTGCCAAATTGCCTGAGCATAGATGCAACTGTTTTGTAAGCTTATTATTTGATATGATTAAAAGCAGACCCTTCTTCCTTTTGGATAGAATTAGAGGACATTTTAAAGGAAGTAAGGATACTGCCATCCAAATTATAGTGGTTGATGAGCTTGTCACATTGTTAGACAGATAACCATTTATTCATTTCCATCTTAGTTTGAGAAGGAAACATGAAAGTAGTTACATTTTCCTATCAGACTTTATGCCTGTCTTTGTACACTTTTCCAGAGAATCACATTGCTGAAAATATGGTAACTTGACTGCAAATCTATGGACTGTCACTAGTTGGCAGCAAAGAATTAGAATTGTCTACATCTTGTTTTTGCCATTTATAGGTTGGGGGTTTTTTTTGTTTTTTTTTTTGAAGCTCGGTTATGTTACTCCTAGAATTTCCTTCAACTTTTTGCAATGGCC